TTGACGAATACATATTAAAAATAAATTTACAATTTTGGTTTCCGGTGATATTAAATTTTGTAGATGGTAAATGGGTTAACATAGATTTATCTGCTGCTGAATCCTCAAATGAATCAGTTGAATTTATTGAGCTTTCTGATGCGGGAAACATTTTCTTCGAAATTTCAATTTTTTTATTGATGGAGTCCTCCACGTAACTTTCAGCAATCGTACTGGACTTCCAACCACCGGCACGTTTCAAAGTTAAAATATCACCGCCTGCATTTACAACCATGGTGGCCCCAGATCGACGGAAAGAGTGACCAGTATATAATTCCGGCTCAGGTAACTCCAAATATTCCGCAATTTTTTTGGGAACGCCGCCGATAGTATGCTGGCCAGCGTTAAGTGCGATACATTTAAAGTTGCGATATGTTAAGAACAGGCGCAAATTTTCTGCATTAACAGGGCGAAGAGCTGCGTATTTTCGATATAAATTGCAGGGCTGAAAGCTGCAGTCATCGTCCGTTATAGTGAATCTTCTACTGGTATGATTCTTTGTATTTCTCAAATGGACGATAATGTATTTTCCAGCATCCTCCACATCGTTCAGGGTTAAAGACAGCAGCTCGTCACATCGGCAAGTACCAAAGATTCCGAAAATGGTGATAACCTTGCATAACAACCAATTTTCGTCAGGAGCTTCTATAATAAACTGTTCAACTTGCTCCTTAGTTAATACTTTTGCCTTTTTCGGGACATAATTTTCGCTCTTCCTCTTTAAAAAAGCCAAAATTTTATAATATCTACAAAACAAACAAAAAATTAGTTATTTTGGTAATTCTGACCAAAGAAAAACAAACCTGTCAACTGGAATATTTTCTTTAATTTGCAGACAGCTTTTCAACATTGACCATTTTGACCATAAGCTATTAGGTTTGAATCTTTTAGCAAGTTGGTTAATATAAGTTAGTAAAACATCCTCTGTCACACCAACTACGGTATTCTTTTCTTGCCAAGTTTTGAAATTTGTCTATTCTTGCTCGTACCTTTTTGAAGACTTCTCTGGTAATAAGCTATTTGCTACAACTGCGGCTTCTTTGATAATGGCTTCTGGTACACTCATTTTTCGAAGAAAAAAATGCGAAAAGCAAATTTGTCATCAAACTCAAAGCAAACTTATTTGACAAAACTTTGACAACTTCTGGCATCAATTTCTGGGACTGTTTGACACACCTTTGTGTCGCATGGTTTCAAAATTGGATTATCTGTTTCAGTTATAAGCTTGTGGCAGCTGTGGTTTATATCGTCTCCCAACCAGTGCAGATTTCTGTTGTTTCTCGACTTTCTGCTAGAGTTTGACGTTGAAAGGTAATCACTGAATATTGGACAATAATTATCGCCTATAGAGCGTTGCCAAGAGTCTAGAACAGCTAACTGTTTATGTCACACATGTGTGTCGCACGGTTTTGCATTGTGATAGGTGGTGAATTTCAATGGAAAACTTACCGAAAACCGATATCACATATATGTGATATTAAATATAAATACAGAAAATATATAAAAAACACATATTAACCTGTAAAAAATATATTATTTCTGTCAAAAGTTATGCTACCCAAAAAAAGCGGTTGGTTTAAAGCATCGTCAAATTTCATAATAGCGGTCTTGAACGTGTTCAAATAAAATTACGCCAAGTACAAGCATCAGAAATAAGGTGTGCTATGCTGGCTGTGTCCAGCAAAGCTCCGACTTTCTGAAAGTTGCCTGAAGCATCGTGCAAGAGAACTCCAACTGTCGAAAGCATGGTTGATTGATTCTGTGACGGAGTTTAATCGACGAAGTTAACTGGGGAATCTGTGCATGATGGTGAGGAATGTTTGGTAAAATTTGGAACCGTAGATATAGATGATCGGCTCTAATGTCAGTTTCTTTTCTTGGGTTGAAGTGAGCGGAAGTATGTTTGGGTCCAGTCTAGTATATATACAGGGTGTCCCAGAATATGTGGGCAATCTCTCGGATTCAGATAGAACTCGAAAAAATAACATGACAACTTCCTATGAAAAAAAATTCTTACGGCCCTCCCTACGAAGTTACGTGCCCCTAAAGGACGCCTCAGAAAATTGGTTTTTTGTTGATAACTTTCAAAATACTTCCTGTAATTTTTTTTCTTTTGATATGATGGATACCAGGTAAGACCACCTAAAATGGACCCTCTCAAACACACTTGACCAATCTGGTTTGCCAGGGACGGACTAGCTTTAACGCAATAATAAAACTGAGGAAATATTAGTAAAAAGGATTAATTTTCACTTTCGCAAAATAAGGGCTAATATTGAACAATATTTTATTAAAATAAGTATGGAATGCATAAGATTAGAAGGATCTCATGTTGAGTCGACATGAAAAATTATTTAATAAAAAACCATTAATACACAAAAACAGATTTTTCTCGAAATCAGCTCATTTTTTTGACATCGAATAAGAGTACCTTTTTTCTAGTTCAAGGTTGAAACAATCTAAAAATATTATTGCTATGCCTATATCATACAGGGTGTAAAAAAAATTAGCATTATTGTGTTCAAGCTAGTCCGTCCCTGGCAAACTAGATTGGCCAAGTGTGTTTGAAAGGGTCCATTTTAGGAGGTCTTATCTAGTATCCATCATATTAAAAGAAAAAAAAATTACTCGAAATATTTTGAAAGTTATCAACAAAAAACCGATTTTCAGAGGCGTCCTTTAGGGGCACGTAACTTCGTAGGGGGGGCCGTAGGAATTTTTTTTTATAGGAAGTTGTCATGTTTTTTTTTTGTGTTCTATCTGAATCCGAGAGATTGCCCACATATTCTGGGACACCCTGTATATATATAGTGTTTTAAACTATGTGAGGCCCCCCCTAGGCAATTGATACAGCGATTGGATTGCTTTAGAATTAACTACCTTTCTTTTGGTGTTTTTGATAGGGATGAGGCGCGATTATTTATTGTATGAGAAGATTTTTTACATAATAATAGCGTTGGAGATACTTTCACGCTCAGATTGATCCAAACTTGTCGCGCATGAAGAAGTAGATGGTTGTTTGGATTATTTGGATAGGATTTGGATTGTGGCTGAATGAAATTGTTTGGGGTTAGTGTGCTAAACTGTATACTGGCTTGACATTGGTTTTCAGGGAATGCAATTAATTCTCGATAAGACTGCAAATCAGTTGTCTCGTAGACAATTTCAGTTTTCCTGTAAAATTTCAGCAGCAAAATATCAAACACTACATAGTCTCAATGATTTACAAAAAGGGACACATTTTCTGAGGACGTGTTTGAATGATTCATTAGGACTAGGACCATGGGAGAAGCTTTCTGGATGAGAGGAGCTACATACATTTGAACCAGAAAACGTCAGTTTTGGTATCTCTGTTGAAGATTGGCAACTTTGCAAACGAAATTCCTAAATTTTAGACAGAAGTTTTGCCAACCTTTCTACGGTTGACAGCATTGTGTTGTCATGAACAAAGCTAATAAATGAGTCATTGAAACTTCAATATGGCTTGAACAACATCCCAATGAGCTATCACAATACATATCTTTACATTTGAAAAAAAAAAGTTGTGGGTGGTTTTCACCCTTAACAGAGGGGTAAATTCCATGAAAAGGCCGAAAAAATGTGCCAAACTTAAAATAAAGGGATTCGTTTTTTTTAATTTTTCTAGAAAATAAACAGGCTTTCTGATACTGAATTTATTCCATTTGAAAATTCCTCCCTGTATACCTGTAGATATACTGAGCATGTGGAATTTTTTTTATAGACTAGCAAAATCAACGATCAAAAAAAATTGATGCAAATACCTTATTATAAAAAAAACAGATCGGAATCTCTCATCCCGTATATAATTCTTGAGTAACTATATTTGAAACCAGTTTTATTGTAAGATATTATTTCCATAAACTAGATATTATAGTTTAAATGTGAATGATAGGTTTGGGTTTTTTTTCGACAAAACTGCAAGTGACAAGAAATAACTAAACACGGTAAAAATAAATATTTATGAACTACCAGTGTGCAGCAGAGATGGGTTTCAACTTAAAAAATTGAAAGGTGTTTTGAAAAATGAGAAAGCTAAAGAGCTCGCTGGGAGCTACTTCTCGTTTTCACCCTGAATAGCATTAGGAGTGCCAAATAAATAAATTTATTTTTTAAAATGAAAAATAGATAGATACTAGAATTAAAATATTTGATGATAATATTAGGTAATCCAATAAAAAGTAGTATTTTCATCTCTTTTGTCTAAGCAACCTTCTCATCTATTCCGAACCTTCATCAGGGCTCAGAAAGCCTTAAAAAAAAAGCAAACTGAAAAGGCACATAACAGCATTCACATAGATACTGGAGAAAATAATGAAATAATTCAGGACCAAAATTTGATTCTTAGGTGCCTATAGGTACTTTTAATAACTATCATCCCGTTGTTTTGACCAGTATCTATGCGTCAATTCTGTTACAAAAAAATTAAAATTAAAAAGAAACAGATTATATTGTAAGCCCTGTCAATCAGCATTACTTAGTGAGAGTGAGATAAAGCAGATTTACATTGCTTACCTAGAATGCAATCCTAAATAATGCAAACGAAAATCGTAAACAAAGTCAAAGCATAATAGCTCCTAATAATAACAAATTGGTTCTTAATAGCCCAACAAATAGCCTAGAACACGCTATAAATTTCTGATCACATATCAGCCCTAACGCGTGCCCTGACTAATAACGACTCTTGCCGAAGAAATTGCTACATTGGGACTCTCACATTGTCATAATAATACTTACCTAGAACCGTGGGCAAGCAACCAAACCGGGTTAACTTTTATTCGGATTTGGGAAAGTTAAAAGGAATTTTTGCGATTTTATGTAACAAGTTGAATGATAGGCATGGTATACCATATTGCTCCCAAAGTGGTGGTGGACATGGCATCGCGCCACCATCGAACTATATAAAGTAGCAGGGTATCGTTTTGTAGTATCACTGTTTGGGTGTTCTAGTGACCTGGTTAATTGGATTACCACCAATAGAAACATGTACTCCATTCGGGCTATCGTAAGTTTTAATTTTTGGAACAAGAACTTTGAAATAATTCCTCACTTTATTGATTGATTTGATTTTTATACAATAAAGGATGGCAAATAATTATTTAAATTAAATTAAACAACAAATTGTACTTTCAACCTACGTTTTTCGTTTTTCGAGTTCCATAATATAAATGTTCCTCAAGCTCAAATAAACAAATTTCAGTTCAATTCAGTTGTAGCTAATACATATTTATTAACTAGGTAAATTAAAATTATTAGTAGAAAACACAAAGTTTTCACTTATTTGAAATGATCATATTATTATTATTATTGTTGATAAAAAGCATAATCGATTTATTTAAATATTTGAGATTTTTTTTTTTTAAATAAAATTCAGTCTACGCAACTTGGAATTAATTTCAATAAAATTGGTTATTAGGCATCTGGTCTTATTTTATCTGCTTTTTGGAAACTTTTGATACTGCAAGCCAAAGTGTTTTTGAAAAACTGCAGCCCTTGCAAAATTAGCGGTTTACAATTTTCCATATTAAACAAACCCTTGTTTATCAGATCAGTTTGCTTCAGATAAACCGCACCGTAATATTCATTCCTTAATTTTCAATCAAAGAAAATTTAGTTTGATCATATTTCCTGACTCTGTTATTTCAAATCCATCGGTTGAACACATTTTTATAGAATCTAAATACCTATTCCTGAGAAAAAAATATGAAGTCCTCTACCTACATGGATTTTTTTAAAAATTGTCCCAGAAATAAATACATGGATCGTTTTTGGATCTTTGAAAACCTTAATTAAATTCATTAAATAAAGACTTCCTGCACGTTGGTGCTTGGCGAAGACCATGGAGTGATTATTGTAATTTCCAGACTAAGTTTACATGACTTTAAATCTTATTCACTTATCCGTTTACTGTCGAAGCTTTAAAACCAAAGTTTACTAGAAAAGTGCTGAATTTCTTAATCCAACATCTTGGGCTTTGTTTCAAGTCATACAATAACTTTTCTAGCTTGCTAAACAATAATACCTGTGCAAAGGACTCCAGTCTGGATGGTGGTTTCATGTGTATATATTTTCTTCAAGTTCGCCATATAAGAAGGCAGTTCTTATGTCGAACTACTTGAATTCATAATCTTTCATATTTGCAATGGCAAGCAAGACTCTTATTGAATCGAATCTTGTTGTTGGGGCATAAATCACATTATAATCTATATGCTCTCCTTGTGCATTTCCTTTAGCATATAGTCTTGCCTTGTATCTTGAGATTGTACCATCTTGATTTATTTTAACTCGAAAAACCCACCTCACCTCTACAGGTTTCTTAATTTCTGGGGTTTTTACCATTATCCATGTGTTGTGCTTAATCGCCCTTCGTTAATCGCGTCTCCCCATTTGTCATTTTCTTTGCTTTTCAGAGCATCATCATAAGAGTCTACAAAGTTCGAGTGAAAATCATGAAATTTGGCAGGCATACAAACATTTCTCTGTGGTCTAAGATCTGGCATTTCGCCGTTCTCTCCAACGAGCTCATAATTTTCTTCTTGTTCGATTTCTTTCAGTTCTTGTCTCGCTTCTTGTCCAACCTGATTTTTAACTTCTACTTCCACTTCGCCAAACTCAGTGACGTCATCATTATCGAATTCTATTTTCACTGTGTTTGGCTTCAAACCACTTTGCGTTTTTTCAATAAACACCACATTTCTTGAAATAATATTTCTTTTTATGGGATTAAAAAGTCTATAGGACGTAGAATTTTCATCATATGGACATGAGTTTTTTTCGCTTTTTGTGTCCAGTTTTCTTCGCTTTTCATCTGGTAGATGCGCGTGCATCACAACCAAACACTTTCACATGGTCAAATGTTGGTTTTTGTGCACACCACATTCCGTATGGCGTATGACTGGTATAACATTAACCGTGCACTTTCACCTTTTACTTCATGTTCTATTCCTTCTTTGCTTAAGTAACATTTGAACTCGTTGTTGCGGTACTCGGTACCACCGTCAATATGCCCATTAAGCAAGACTCGCAGAAAAACTTCTTAACATCACTGAACTTTACAACTGCAACCAAGCCCTTCTTGACCATTTCCTTGAGATATTTCATATTAACATGGCCACAGCGTTCATGCCATAATTTATCAGAAACTGTTAAATTTGCAGTGCAGATCATGGTTCTGAATAGCATTTTATAGGTATTGCTCGAGTTTTTCACAGCTGTTGCTGCAAGGTTCGAACCTTCAAACAAATTTAACAACTTTCATTTCATCTGTGAGAAGCTGCTGTATGTATAATACATTATTAATTGTTGAACCATACCACTTATCATGAATCAGCTTTTGTATTTCTATCGTCCCTTTTTCTTCTACTGACATGTGTTGGTCGTTTCCAAGTGTCGCTCTTGACTTAAAATTACCATCTAACGTTTGAAAGAAGTCTAGCCTATATGTCATATGAGAAGAGGCACCACTGTCCCATCTCAAAATTAACACTGTTTCGCTTCAACTTCAACATTGAACGCTATGTCGTTTTTGACATTTTTGGGATTTTCTCATTTCCGGAAGTTTTCATCTTGCTTCTTTCTGTTTTCTTTGAATTATCTTGAGATATGGCCTCTCTTTCTACAATAAAGCACCTCTTGGCTTCTCATTTTCTTGCTTTTTCTTATCAAAGGACATTGCTGCAAAAGCTTGTTCGGTTTCCTCATAATTCTGGAGGTTACTCTCTTCATCCAAAAGTCGAGGCTTTAAATTATTAATTGCTTGTTTGGTGGGATCCAATGACAACCATGCTTGCCTTACGTTTCTATACTTGATAGGCAAAGTACTCAATATTTTTGTCATAATTACTTATGTCGTCACCTGCATCTTTTATTTGTTTGGCAAGATTCTGTATCTTCGAGACATTATAGTATTATTTGTAGCCATCATATATTGGTGAAAATTCTCATTAAATATCATCTTATTTGACTATGACTTCAGTTATCAAAGATTGCCTTTAATGAAGACATAACATCTTTTGCATTTTCACAACTTTCTATCGATGTTATTTGGTCAACGTTCATAGCTGCCGTTAATACAAACATAGCATGAGCATTTCTCTTGCATCATGTTGTAAGCTCATCAGTTTGGAATTTCATCTGAAATGTCCATTGCCTAGAGTTGGTTCCATCAAACTTATTCACGCTGGAAACGTCAACTTTATCAGTCATTGTATTGTCTCAACTGGAACTCACAATAAACGACGTTTTCACAGTTTTCGTGTTGCACTCGTTGCAGGGACAGACTCTAGTGTAGACCTTTTCAGTTTTTCACAATAGTTTTCCAAGAGACAACCCCAAAACGTTTTACACACGTTTTTATTCCACACGCACATCACTTACACTTTCTGGGCATGCGCGACTGGGCCCCTAACCTGTTATAAACAGAGTATGAAATAAAATGGCCCTTTAGGTAAACTTGGGTAGTTTTTAATTGTGGAAAAACTAATATAAAATACGAAAAAAGAATAAGTAAAAATCAGAACCAACGTGCAACATGCCAAGCAAAAGTGTATAGCCGACCATATTTGAATATCAAATATTACAAAAATCTTAATAATAACACCTCGCCCCATGAATATTTTCCTAGTTGAGAATCATTACATTATTGAGAGATTGAACCACTCATCAACGCCATTTTGCTCAGGTTCGTAGGTAACAGTATATTGGATTCCTTTTTTCAAAAAAATCCTGAAATCTACGAAAGGAGAGGTAGGTATGCTCCCCTCATTTTCGCATCTCATTTTACAAAAATTGATACATTATTTCTAAATTTCTCCAAGGCCTCACTTTTTTCAAAATAGCAAATACAGAAATACATATACCGCTGAGTATAAGTGCATGTCCAACAGCAGTATTTTTGCCTCTTCGTCTTCATCAACTTCTTGCAGACATTTTTATCTAATTTGTTAACCTTATTGACACTTTTCACATAATCTTGAAGCTGGGTATTTCGATGTATAGATCATTTTCCAATGCATCCAAATGTTTTTGTCTTTAGTTGGTGAGCAGAGCAACCTTCAAGATTTCAATTGAAATTTTCAACATGCGATAAGTTTCAATTTGAAATTCCTTCAGATAATTTAACAGAATTCGTCAATAATGTTCTATCTTTAAATATCAAAGTTTGTTCTAATTTGTCAACACCAGTAACTGTGCATGAAGATCGAAAAATTACATTATAGTTTATTTTGTTGTGGCATTACAATGGGGGGAGAATATTGTGAAAATACATGTATAAACAGGGTGTCTCCTGAGTATCAATTCAAACTGTAATGAATGATTTTTGGGTTATTCTAAGACTTGCTAAACGTCATTGGAGGATTGAAAATTAAATTATGCATTAATCGTGCGTGAGTTTAGATGCCCCTAAATTGGCTTACCTGAACTTGTTTTCAAACATAAATCACCTTTAATTTCCTCTACTAGTTTTCATACTTGTTTGATAACATTCATCTTCTGACACACATCTCTTCGATTTTGTATATTTTTTTGTGATTAGTTGTCTCGTTGTCACAGCAATCAGCCTGTCCTTTTCATCGGGCATTTTTCCACCTAGTTGTCCTAGTCTCAAGGACGCATTGGTAGTACTGATACATAAGGGCGGGGATACAAAAGAGCCATCAAATTATAGCCCAATATCATTGTTATCAACAATATCCAAAGTTGTTTAGCTTCTCAAAAAAAGTATGATGGACTTCCTATCAAATCATAAAATTCTTAACTCCGCCGAATTTGGATTCCTTCCTAAAAAGTGTACCCATGATGGCATGTTTCGCGTTCTGGAACAACTCCTGGAGCACTACAACAATGGCTTTGCTACCGCGGGGGTGTTCTATGAGCTCTCAAAGGCCTTTGACTGTGTGAGTCACAGAACTTTTCTGAGGAAGTTAGAGGTCTATGGCTTTAGGGGTGTTATTTCGAGGTGGTTCGAATCATATCTTTCACATCGCATTCAGCGTGTCACCTTGGATGGAAAATGTTCTTCTGATCAGCCAATCGTCCGTGGGGTTCCACAGGGATCAGTCCTGGGACCAATATTATTCCTCATCTATTATCCGTTCACGATCCGATGTCTACAGGTAGGTACAGGTAAACTCACCTTTCAATGCTATTTGATAGGGAAAGGTGATAAATTTACCTGCACCTGTGGACATCGGATTGTGAACAGGATATTCTATGGTGGGTGAGCTAACGAGTACAAGTCAAAATTTTGCGAAAATGAGTTTAAGTCATTTTGGTATATATTTTCGGTTCCTACATCGACTGGTCCAAACAGTTTAAGTCAATTTATTTGAAATACTTTACTTTTAATTTCAATCGACATAGTTTAACTTAAAAGGAATTTTATTCTGTTGGGCATATCAGTATAAGTTGAAATTGTACTATTTAGATAATACACTATTAATAAAATTCAAATAGTACAAGTAGACTTATACTATTCCTATCCTGATTTTGTCGGTCGACTTATACTCCTAGTACCATTTGGGGACCAAAGAGGTTATGTTATCAGCAAAAAAAAAGTGTTTTGTGAAAAAGAGTTGGCCTTCTTTTCCAGTTTTTGCTAATATCAAATTTTGGGTTGAGCAAAACTAGTATAAGTCATTTCTTAGGTCAGGTCAAGATATTATAAGTCATATTATCTTATTTCATAATAATATATGTCATCTATAGGTCTGGTCAAAAGAGTAGTCCTTTTTTTTTTGTAATAAAAAAAAACAGAACAAAAAAAAATTTAAAAAATAGATTATCTCTAATAAAGAAACACCTTTGTAAAGTTAAAAATTCGATTCGTCCGAAACAGCCACAAAAAATCCGATTATTTTAAAGTCGAATATTTCGAACGCATTTTTCTTGATTTGTCTAATTTTGACTTGTACTCTTTAGCCCACTCACCATAGATATATCAATGATCTTCACTACCTTGATATATCGGGAATCTTCACTGCGTTCGCGGAACCCAAACTGCCTTTTCCACACGACAGACGCAAAATATACCGCTCCCGATTCCTCACTCTACTTTTGTGAAGAACTCCATAATTTACAACAGCGAGAAATTCTATAATCACCTTTCTGCAACTATCAGAAACATCTCAGATATTTCACGGTTTCGGAGCCATTTGAGGAGCACTTTACTTCAACATGCCTTTTATACAGTTGATGAGTTTCTAAATGTCTCTATATAGGACTAAAGCCTTCCTGCTTCTGTTGCATATACATGTTATATTTTGACTTAACTGTCGTTGTATTTATCCTAGTCTCAAATTTGCCTGTCATTTGTTTGTTGCTTATCTTTTTTTGTACCATTTACTAACTTATTTATTTTTTGTGCACAATGTTAATGTTGTTTACTGACTGGATTTTAATCTTAATCTTAATATTAGAATGTAAAAATGCTTTGTCAATAAGATTTTTTGTTCTTTGACAATAAAGCTTGTTTTGAATTGAAAAATTGAATTGAACAATTCCTAGAGAATTATTCTGGCAACTCACGGAACTTTCAAGCCATTAACCAACTCGAAAAATATAGAGGAATCTCTTGTCTCCCTAACCAAACCAAAATTATTGGATCAGCCTTTCAAGAAACCACTCCTTCCATTCGCCTGAAATCAAAGAACCTTTTTCCTCCACATTGAAGATAAAATAAGAGATAGAAACAGACTGAAAAGAAAAACTAAGAACCCAGATATCAATAAACAAGCAAATCATTTAACCAAGATCATCAAAAAACCATTCAAAACATACAAAAACGAAAAATAGGAAAGTTTTTTCTCTAGCCTCAACATCTAATAAAACTATGGCAAACTCAGAAATCTCTCCTCAACAAACATTCGATAAATACCTCCAATCTACAGTGCTAAACGCGGCTTTGTATTCTATGGAAGAGCGAAGACAGAAGCTTTCGCTGACTCCCTAGAACTGCAATTCTCCACCAACGAGTCTAATGATTACAATTTAGACGTTGAAATCCAAATTTACAATACAATGAGAAAAATTAATTCATCTCATGAACCCGACAGAAGGGAAAAATTAATAACAACAAAAAAAAAAAATCAGAAAATTATTCATGATTTGAAAAACAGAAAGGCTCCAGGAATTGACTCAATCAACAACAAAACGCTGAAAAATCTTCCAGCCGAATATCTTGATGCTATATTATAATTTTTTTTGATAATTGCTTCCATATTTCCCATTTTCCCCTCGTATGGAAGACCGTCATTGTGATCCTGCTTCCCAAACCTGATAAAAACCTGACTTTCCTTCAAAATTGGTTCCCAATCATGTCTTCTTCTATACCTGGGTAAACTTTTACAAACTGTTTTTCTTGGAAAATTCACAATGATCACGGAAGAAAATAAATTACTTCGAGAAAAGCAATTTGGTTTCAGGAACTATCTCTCAACTGAACTTAAATTCGCGAGACTAACCCAAGAAATAACGGACGGATTCAACAAAAGAGAAACTACAGAATTGATAATTCTAGATGTAGAAAAACCGTTCGATAAAGTGTGGCACGAAGGCCTTGTCTATAAACTACATGATAAGTGGAAGATCCCACCTAACTACATTCAATTTATCAATCAGTTCTTCAAAGGAAGGAAGTTCCAAGCTGAAATCAACAAAATCCTAGGTATATCCACCACCAGACAAAAATAAGCAGGAGTTTCCCAAGGCTCTCCCCTCTCCCTCAACCTATCCAGTCTGTATCAAATAGATATTCCCAGAAACCCTTGTATCAAAAGTTCCCTTCTCGCAGACAATACTTGCATATTTGCCTCCTTCAAAAACCCAGTAACCATAACTAATGTAATTCAAAACCATCTAGATCAAATCCAGGAATGGACAAATTCATGTAAAATCAAAATAAATGTATAGGAAACTCATAATATTAAAGAAATGTCTAAGGCCGTATCTAGAAAATCTCTCCCTAGATGACACTGAAACCAGGGTCGAGTATATGACATGAAATTTGCTCAGAATTTTACGTAGAATCTAAATATGCAATCACATACAGGGTGATTCATTCGAAGAAACAAAGTTGATCTTTGCCAGAAGTGACAGAAACAATTCGTCTAGGTAGAAATGTGGGAAATAATTTACTGGGCAACTTTCATTGTCAGTTTCTCGTATACGAGGTAATTAAAAAGTGACACGTATTATGCGCGACTTTTCTGCCACTCTGTACAATTTCATACCTAGGTTTGTGCTTAAAAAATATTTATTTTTGTAGCCAACTTATGTTTCTGGGTTATTACTTCTGTTTTATGCCTTGACGCTAGAAGCCAAGTCATAAATCTAAATCTAAAAATTCACTTCCTGTACCAAGAAGAAAAACCGTTTTCTATTTCACGTAACCATTCGAATCTTGCCTAGTATCTAGAGGGACACATTAAATCCCATTTTGGAATAGAAAATTGTTATTAACTAGATTTACGTACTATATGGTTTAAATTCAAACGGTTGTGTAATATAGATTATGATGAAGTAACACTTTTTTTCTCCTTGCAGGTTGTGATGTTCTCTATCATTCTTGGACTGGCATGTGCAGCACCAGGTGGATATCACCAGTAAGTACAATGTTTGAATTCAATAAAATGGCGTAGGAAGGTTTAACTTATTGTTGTCATTTGTTGTTAAATGATAGTAAATGTTAATTGTAAGGGAAAACTCACAGCTTTTTTGAACCAATATTGTATATATTAGTTAACGCTATAAATCACAAATCTACAAAAGTTTCGACACATAGTCCGTGTCATCTTCGGGGCTAAAGAAATCAAAGGAATCTTTATTAAGTACCAGCAACTAACCTGTTGAAAGTGGAAACTTAAAAGTTAAAGGCTATATGAAGTATTATATATTTTCAAAAATTCAATTTCAATTTTCGATAATCTAGATGAGTTGCGGATCTTTGCCCTTTAAAGTCAAGACTCATCGCCCCAGCGTCCTCTTGACCGGTGTCTCACCCACATCATCCAATTTTGAATAAAAAACTTAGCGGTGTGTTCTGCACAGCTTTATTTCAATTTTGTGACTTTCTTTTGATGCATTCATTAGTTTTTTTGGTTTAATTTTATTTCCAAAATTGCGTTTATCCAGGTTGGTCTTAATAAGTTTCCAAAGTCTGGCAGTCGTATGTCATAATTGGAAGGAAACGTGATTGAAAATTCTGCTTTAAAATATTGGAATATCTTGGTATTTCCAATTATCCATTTTGCTGAAACCTGCTCATGCATTTTCCTAAAGCTCTGTTTTAACCGACATGAGAACCGTTCTAGAACGGTAATTTCCAGTCGATCAATTAATTTGTCTAGTTGGATAAACGTTCAACTTATTAAAGAATAGGTGACCAACTGGAAATTACTATGGTTCTGGAACGGTTCTCATGTCGGCTGGAACAGAACTGAAATAAATCAACTGTCATAGTTCAGCTTTAGCGTCTATCATATCAGCTATCAGATTATCCTTGGTCTTTTGGAGAATCATTTACAGTCTTTCTCTGATTCTTTTTTGTTGTGATTATAACTAATCCAAACTTGAGACGGTATAGTTTTCTGCCTTTGGGTCCTTTTTGTTTATGAGTACTTATACTGACTTCTACTGCATGATCAGGTCTCCTTATCTCACAGTTAGGTACAACTCAACCTCATCAGCTACAACAACCCATCGGTCAAAATTCCAATGATATACAGACCCTTTTTGAAAGTTCTTTAGGCCTTGAACCATGGATTCTAGGAGAATAGGAAAAATCTTGAAAATTGCGGTAGTCATTTTATATAGGTAAACCCGTATCTTCTAAAGAGTTAAGTACATATATCTCTTGCCACTTGTCACCAGAATAACGACCGGAGATACAGCCCTGTTCCAACCGACATGAGAACCGTTCCAGAACCAGTAATTTCCAGTTACTCATCTATTTTTTAATAAGTTTAACGTCTATCCTACTTGACAAATGTATTGATGGACTGGAAATTATCGTCCTAGAACGGTTCTCATGTCGGTTGGAGCAGAGCTTACAGCATCTAAAACGTACAGTTGATATTATTTCATTTTTCGTCCTGATATTTGGCTCCTCAAAATATTTACGCCATTTGTTCTATTTCGTCAGTATTACCGATGATATGGGAAGGGCTCCAAGATTTATTTGCTAAATAAATTTTTATCAACAATCTAGCTTTGCTGAAGATAATATCGATCGAAGTTAAAACACTAATGGTTCAATTTAAACAATAAATAAATGATGTCCACCCTTTATATATGTGTTCTTCTATTGATTCTATTTGCCTTAGCCATTCTATTCTGCTCTCTAACAATAATTTAATTTTTTTTTTCATTTTTAGTAAACACGTCAGAATCATCGTTCCCTCTCACCACCACACCGTCCACCATCACCACGTAGAAAAAATTCACGTGCCAGTTCCAGTACCGATAATAAAAAAAGTTATTGTTCCCGTCGAGACTCATCATGATATCCATCATCACGATATCCACCATGATCATCTTGATTTACATCACGGTCTTGATTTGCACCATCACGACGATTTCCATGGAGGCTGGTGGTAAATGCTGATTTACCATGGTTCGAAGAATCCCCCGCGTGTATTATAGCTCAATCAGTGATGTAAAAATGTTTTGGTTTTGTTTTAGATTTGTTTGTTTAATCTCTTTATTTTTCAGGTATCCATAAGATGTTTTTTCATTTGGATGGAAAGTGCAAGGTTTCTCTAGCTTCAATAGTCTAGTTGCCAGTCTTTGTAGTTCCGCCATTTTGTTAATCATTTTTTTAGTTTCTTTAGTTGTTTCTTTTTGTACATAATTTTTGTAATATACTATTTTTTACCTACATAGTGTTTTATTTTTTAATTTCTTTATTCAGTGTCATGTATATTAAAAAAGTTCTTCTTCAAGAGTCATCATAGGCCTTCACAAACTAACGACTATTATAAGAATCTTGACAGCACCATTATCTGTCGGCTCTTTGATGGCTTAATGAGCCTATTCATGGACCCATAATTTCTACGGGTCGCTGTTGTGAACCAGCTCTTCTCAATCCGTTCCCGCTTTTTCCATCGATTCCATTTGTCCTTCGCATCCCTTCACCTTTGTCATTCAAAATACTCCAAGCCTTGATGGATAGGTACTTATCCCATCCTTCAAGTGAGTCTATTCAGGAGGGCCGTAGCGTCCCAGTCACATAAGCAACTTGTAGCATGTGAAATGCTACAGTTAGTATTTGTTCCTTTTTCTTCCAATTATAACATAAAGTTGAATTATTACTTTTGATGTTGGACAGTCTAGTGACTGGCATTAAAAAAAAAAAGGTTTCTGCTGTTAATAGTATTAGCAATTTTTAACTAGAGGGCACGATTTTCGTTTACTTTTGAAGTTCCAGTTTAGTACCAACGCTTTCCGTTGGCTATTTTTTGGGAGGAAGCTCTGCCTGTTCATTTTTTCCATTTCTTTCCTCAGCCCTTTTTAATCTTGCCGTTGCCCTGAAAGGTCGACTTTGGCCAGGAAGGGGAGCCATCTTCCTCAACTGTGATTACCGTTCTCGTAAAGAAAAATACCTTATCGCAATCAGGCATTAGTTTGGCGAAATAAAGTTGCGCAAGGCAAAGTTCCGTTGATTGCCGAAAAAATTTTAATCAAACGTCTTGTGATAACCGTTTTATTCAAGTTTTAATTTCGAACCCCCTCGTGGGTTTTCCGAAGAGCTGGTTTTCCGAGGAGGCGTTTTTCCGAGGAGCTGTTTTCCTGAAGTGCTGCTTTTTCCAAGGAGCCGTTTCTCTCCTCAACGAATCCATTCCCAACAAGACCACATTTTTAAAGAACGCCATTTGCGTGAGGTGCTTTTGAAGGGATTCCTCACGTATTGACTCCTGTACCTCCACATTTGACGACAACTGAGAACTTCTAGCCTATATCTATACCTTGATTCAAGGCTAGAATCTGCAACTTCTATGTGCAACTTCTCTCGTGAAAAAAATGGATGGCAGGATGGCTATCGTAATCCACCTTTCCTTTTGTTAGAATGGAGGCTTGTATAAAGTTTCATTATTAACGTTTAATTTATTTATTTTTTTCTCTTTATTATATATTTTATGTTCAATTAACATAATTGATTGAACCTTTACTGATATGACATTTGGATATATTAAAATCTTATTCATAATCAATAATCTGAACTGAAGTCAAGGTTGGACAACATGCTCTAAATTCAAAATTATTGAAGAAGTACCTACATCGTCGATAATTGATTAATTTTTAACCTGGGTCCTAAGTATAATTTATATATTTGAGGTTTTTCAATAAGTTGAACATTTATCCTAATTGACGAATGAATTGATCGACTGGAAATTACCGTTCTAGAACGGTTCTCATGTCGGTTGGAACAGAGCTATCATATCTCCTGACCATTCAACCCAACTTTTGATTTCATACAGGTGTAAGCCGATTTTATTGACTTTTTTTTTAAGGAGAAGCTGACCATATTTATCAAAACAATTTTCAATTTTTTAAAAATTAGTTTTCTGGAAACTTAAATCTTTTATATTTTTATTTCCTGATAATGATATGGCCAGCGACTGTTGATGAACTTATATGGCAACTATATTGAGGTACATTGTAATATTATTATTATTTTTGAGCTTGGTGAATCGGATTGAAAGTTAACATCTTTTTATTGATTCGATTTAAAGTTTTTTTCCAACAAATACTTGATTTTTAACCTCACTGTGAAAATATAGTAATATACTATTTTGATTTGAAATTGCTTGAGTGTTTTATTGGTTTTACCTGTGTCAAGATTTGGTTGAGTTATATGCCGTATTTATTTCCTTTTTAGAATCACCAATTACCGTTTGCTGATTTTTTTGTTTGGTGTGTTTCTGAATTTTCCCACCCTATCATTTTATGTAATTTAATTATAATTTTTTTAAAATTCAGTGGCGCCCTTGCCATTCTGTACTTATTAAACTATCAACCCACCCTTAATAATTATTCGCTGAGTAAACTGAGCATATTATGGTCCTCTTGTTAATTCATTAACAAAAGGGGTTACAAACTTGGTCGGTCTGTCTATTTTTTACACTAACATTGCTTCAATCTGTGCTGTATTTGATGATCTCACCGTCTTCACAAAAAAAAACACTCCTGAAAACTTTATGATCAGAAACTTGGCTTAAAGGTACAACAACCAACTTACTAATTGATATCCGTAGCTACAATATATACAGGGTGTTCCGAAATTAATGCACCAAATTTTTATGGCATATTCTACGTCGAAATTAAGCCCTAGTTACCCATATAAACATATGTCCGGAAACGCTTCCTCTCCAAGATACAGGGTGTTGAAATTCTAAAAAAAAAAAACTATTTTTTTATCATAATTCATATTACTTTGAAATTTTGTACACTACTTTCAAGCAGCAAAGGACATTTTTTCGAATTTTGGCAATTTCGCCATGAATCAAAATAGTTTTTTATTTTTTTTACTTTAAAACGGTGCATCTTTCGGAAAAAAGTAAAGAGATCAAATTTGATCCAAATTGAATGAGGATTTCAAAAATGATTTTTATTTCAGGAAAAAGCAGTGCCGCACCATTTTTTTCTTAAAAAAATATTTCTTACAAATCTGGTAGGACGCCATTGGTACTTTAGAAAAAAAAAAAAATCACATCAAAAAATGTATTTTGCTGCTTGAAAGCTGTGTACAAAATTTCAATGAAATATCTAGAGTGGTTTGAAACTTATGATAAAAACATAGTCTTTTTCTTAGAATTTCAAAACCCCGTATCTCGGAAAGCAAGCGTTTCCGGACATGTGTTTATATAGGTAACTGTGGTTTATTTTCGACGTGGAATATGCCATAACAATTTGGTGCATTAATTTCGGAACACCCTGTATAGATCAGACAGACTGATACACTGCAGCGGTGGAGTGTGCTTTTATCTCAGCCAATACATCTTCAACAGCTACACTGTTATAGAAATACTCGATAACTGCGTTGGAACTGTCATTCTGACCCTACTTCTGACCTCATTTTCTTTTGGGAATTCTCCATGGAAAATGATACACTTCTCTTTACTTCTCTTGGTTATTGTGGGCGATTTCAACTTTCCCAAAATCTCATAGCCAGTTATAAATCTGAGTGCATTAAGGGATGGAGCTGCCATATTGGGTGAGACTCTATTTAATGAGGACCTACACCAGCTTGTGACCAAACCCACTCGGTACAGGGAGGGTCAAAACCCCTCATTTCTTGTTCTTATAATTGTCAATGACAAGAACTTCATAACAAAATATAAACATCTGTCTCCCATAGGAAAATCTGACCATGAGGTAGGTACTGAAACTCACACTCCAAGCAACATTGGCTAATGCAGGTGCTGAAACCTCCAAGCAAAAAAACAAACGCATCAACTTTGCAGCAGTTAACGTACACCTTTCGTCGACTGGGAAGAATTTTTGGGTGATAGCATAGACGCTTCCACAACACATTAGAAAGAACAGTACAAGCCAACTCAGAATTTATTATAAGAATAATAAACAAGCTTAAACCGTGGATAACTGATTGTCACACACGAGACTGTAGGAGGAAGAAGGCACTTAAAAAAATATTCAAACAAAAAATCCCACTGACTATAGAAAACACCGCAACTATTCAAATACCCTAACACAGCAAATAAAATAAAGGAGGCAAAGCTGGTATTTCTCAGCAGTTTAACAAGGTTCAAAAATTCCAAAAAGCTGCACAAATATATACGATCAAATTTGAACACTAAAATTGGTAGGTATACTAAAAACCGGGGATATTTGCACTTGCACAGATAACAGGAAAAAAGCTACAATGTTTGCCAATGAGTTTTCAAAGGTCTTCACAAAGGAGGCACCTATTACGACTACCCTTCAAATCCATACTGCCAGGGTAATAATTCAAGTCACTAGAATCGACTTTACCCATCAAGATATCTCAAAAAAAAACTCTCCTGGGCTTGATGGTGTGTCTACTCTGATGCACGACAAATGTGCAGAATGCCTTCTGCACCCCATAACAAAAATAATAAACATGTCCTTCCAACTGATTGTAAGAAGGCGCTAGTCACATACATCCATCTATAAAAAAGTGCCAAGCTAAGCAGAGAGAACTACTGGCCCATAAGTCTCTTATCCATTATAGGTAAAATGATGAATTCCATAATAGTAGACCATGTCAGAGACTTTGCAGCTGCAGAACAGCTAATTCCCACACACCAACATGGCTGCATTTTTAAACGCAGTACAACAGCAATGGGTGGACCAGACTTCCAGAACTAAAAATGCCAGTAGATGTCATTTATCTTGATTTTATCAAAGCGTTCGACAGGGTGCCTGCACGGAGACTCGTAATGAAATTGGAGCATTTTGGGATGATGGGCAACTTGATGGACTAAGACGGGGATTATGTATTAGACAGAGAGTTCCAAGTCAGAATTGCTGACTCTCTTTCCAAGCCACACCCAGTGCTAAACGGAGGGCCGCATGGCTCAGTGCTTGCACCACTGCTCTTTGTGTTGTACCTACACGCTGGATCTACTGGACCTTATCCCTCGTGCGCTAGATATGCTGATGACATAAAGATCTACA